ACTGGTTAATTTTGTTTTCCGATATTTTCCCTGGTGTTGTTGGCCCCCAACCTGCGTGAACCAGGGAACGGAGAAAGGTGACCAAAATCGGGGGTGCCACCCAACGAGAAAGCCCACCCATTTCGAGGGTTCCCCTTGCCGGGTTGCTCGTGTTTTTGGCCCCCCTTTTCAAATGTTGGTTGGTTTCAACCAAAGTTGGCCCAACCTGGCCGGCATGTTTTTTTTTTTTGTGGATCCATTTTGTTTGGGGGTCCCGTTTGTAGGGCTTCTTTGACTTGGCAGGTTCAGAGAGTACATGATCGGCATGCTGGTGCTGACCTCAGACCCGAGTTCGACTGAGATGAGCCGATCCTTTTTGCAAGGAGGAAGCCTGGCAGTTTTATGGCTCTTTGTGCCAGGCTTCCAGTTTGACATCCAAAACATAGCACAAATGTTCCTTTCCAAAGGAAGAGGTGTCGTCCCCCAACGAGCAGAGCAATTTTCCGAGGTAGAGCTCCTTGTTTTTGGTTGTTTCAGGTGCTCTCTACGAGCAAACATGGAACCCAAAAAGGAGGTCCCCCCAAAAAGGATATTCCTCAAACATGGCGGTTTTTTAGGTTCCATATTCTCTGTAGAAGGGTGGCTTGTATCAGTTTTCCAGAGCTCCTTACTTTCGCACCCACGCTGCAAATGCAACGCGCAGTGGGTTTTGGTTTCCCGTTAAGGATACCGAGCCCCAAAATGACACACGGCCATGTTTCCTGGAGCGGGCCCCCAACATGCCTAGGGCCTATGAGTTGTTTTTGGGAACCAGTAAAACGCTGATTGGACACGAACCCCCACAGAATGTTGATGTCCACCAAAGGGGCCCGAAAAAGAATCCGCATAAGTGTTTAACAGTGTTCCCCCTTTGTTCCAGTGGTGGTTTTAGAAAATCATTGGTTGTCAATCGTTGTCAATAGATCATGAGTTTCCCTTTGGCGGGGTCCAAATCCGATCCAACTTTCCCGGGTCGACGTCGTCGACCCCCGAGAACAGCATCGACCCGGATCCGCGGGTGCAAGAGATGACCCTCGAGCAGCCACGCGCTCAGGCGCTGTTTTATGTATTCAGGTTTGGAGGTTTGGGATCAGTGGGAGACAGGGAACAGCGTCAACCCCGGATCAAGCAGAACCACTTGTTGATTTTGAGGGATGGGGGGGTCCGGGTTTATCTAAGAACGGGTTTATTAAGGCGGGGTCAACATTATGTACCTTTCTTGGCAGTTTGCATGCTCAGAATCGACGAGCAGTCATTAAACGTCGAAGGCCGTAGACTTTTAGAACGGCTTAGGCTACAATTTCATGCCCCTTATGCGGTAGCTTTATTGTGGTTTTTGTCCAACCCCCCCCCCCATTTCTCTTGGGTGTGATTAGGGGCAGTGAAAACCATCTTTGAACAAGACTTGGGCAAGTCCTTCCCCGACGGTTCTTTTTCGGTTGGCTTCATCTGGATGTCCTGTGGGTCTCCTTTCGGTTTCCTGGCGCGCGCCCCTCAGCAGCCAAGATGCGCTTGGCTGAGGCTGCAGCTGGTTGACTTTCTGAAAGGTCCTCTCGAAGTCCTTGCTGTTAATGTCTGTTCCTGGACAGACAAGAAAGGAAGGACATTTACAGGGTTTCCTTGCTGGCGAAGGCCCCAGTTCTTTTTGGCAGCAGCATGCGTAGGACACTTGCTGCGACAGTTTGGGGAATCGCCGAGGTGGATTGCAGAAGCGGAGTCTGGCCGGGCGGCCTTCTTCGTGAACTCCATGTCCAGTGTGCCTCAGCCCCATCGCATCATCGCAAGCGCGAGCCATCCCGCAGGATGAGAGCGACAGAATGCATCCCGTGCGGTGGGATCCACACAGGGTATCAGAAAGCATTATGAAGCGCAGGTATTTCTGGAGTATCGTTTTGTTTCATTGTTGTGTTGTGTTGTTGTGTTTTATTTTGCGTTGTGTTGCTTTGCTAGCTTTGCTAGCTTTGCCGCTTTGCTTTACTTTGCTTTGCCTGGTTTTGCCTTGTTTTGCCTTGTTTTGCCTTGCTTTGACTTGCTTTGCCTTGCTTGCTTGTTTGCTTGCTTGAGTTGCTTCTTCATTTCTTTTTTTGTTAGTTTGTCGGTTGGGTTGTTTCTTTGTTGGTTTGTTTCTTTGTGTCTTTGTTTCTTTGGTCTGTGTGTCTTAGCTTGTTGTTGTTTCTCTCTGTTTGAAACTTTGCAAGGCAGATGTTCCGCCCGTTCCCGATTCCCGCCCATGTTTCTTATTTGCCCTCACGGTTTCCAAGGGCGGCCTGAGTGCAAGAAAGCTCAACCAGGCGCCCAGGTTGACACATAGTTTAACCCATTGTTACGATCCAGGGTTCCATTTGGGCCCCAAGGTAGGCTTCGACCACCAGTTCATTTCCAACTTTCATGGGAACTAGCTGCCCCCCCTGATGCCAAGTTGCTGGTAGCGTTTCGGCTCGCGAGAGGGTCGGGCCCGGCCCGACGCCTGTTCCTCTCCGCGTGGAGCGCGGAGCTGTCCGTGGAATCCGAGCCAAGGCCCGTTGCGAGGCGGGCACCAACCCGGAACCTGGAACCCTCCAGGAATCCAAATCCGCAACCCTAGGTTTGGCAATTCCCCCTATCTCTGAAACGATATACTTCCATTCGCTTTTAAGAGTACGTTTGTGGTTTATGTTTCCTTGCGGGATTTAAAAGGGAACCGATTTCACTGCTGGAAACACGTTCTTATTTTTCCAGGGGACTGAAGCAAATGGAAGCAAACCGTGTCCAAAGTCTTCACTGGCCCTTGGAAGTCAGGAGGGCCGGTTCCATGTCTGGAGGGTAGCATGGCAGATCCCCCCCTTGCAAGTACACCGTGACCAACCATGTGTGGGTATCTTTGAGAGATTTTGTGAGGGTACCCTTTTTCACATTGGCTTAAAGGGACACCAAACGGAAGACCAACCCATTGTTGCAAAGAACCTTGCCAGGTGTGCGCGGGGTGATGGAAGGACCGCTCGGGAGCTGTGGGTGGCAGAGCGCAAGAGAACGGCCAGCAACAGCCTTTCAGAATGACCAAGTTCAAAAGAAAAAAAACTCCAACTCGCTTGCTACAAGCAAATTGACCTTGTGACCTGTTGGTTTCCCCTTGGTTCATTTTTAGAACAGGTCTCAAAAGGTAACCCATGATTTCTAGGTCTCTAAGGTTGGTAAACCCTTCGCTGAACCTGGGGCAGCTGTGCACCCCATGGTTTGGGACTCGTCGTTCTCGTTTGGCGCGGCTTCTCACTCTCGCTAGAACCAAATTCCGCGTCCCAGACGTGTGCTCGCAAATGGAATGGGCAGGGGGAGATTTCGATTTGCATATTTGCTTATGTTTTTTGTGGTCGTGGGACTCTTGCTGGGGGTTTTCGGTGCCCACTGTTTTTCAGGGAGGGCCACGTGAAGCAATCGCTTGCTGGGTGCGTAAATCTTTGAACCAGAGGATCCCAGACAATCCCAAACCTCCCCGCCATTTGAAACTCGCAAGAGCTTTTGGACTGGTTCCGCAACAGGATCTGGGAAAAGGGCTGCTCCCTCTGTTTTTGTGGTTGGAAGAAGGGCTGTGTAAGCAGTGGTTTAAGCATGGGTGGCCCTACTGCAATCCCAACCCCCTCAGGGCCTCTGCCCTCGATACCCTTCTCGCAAAGCCCTAGAAGGTTCTTAAAAAGCAATGGGCAGACGGGGGCCAAACCCCGCCCTAAACCAACCCCATTGTTAACCAACCCTAAACCCACCCTAGACCACATTCGTTTCGGCTTGCCGAGGAGTTGTGGTTATGCGCCCCGTGCTGCCTGGCTGATTTTTTGGTCAGGTGTCTCCGACGGTGGGTTTTTGCTCGAAAGTGGGGGAGACCAGGGTTCAATTTGGCCCCCAGTCAACTCGTTGATTCAATCCTGGGTTCTCTCTGCATTTTGTCCGATCAAGGTTCCCACTTGATCACCCCCAGGCGATGTTTCATGTGGAAGAGGGTTCCCACCTATCCGCCCGAACTTTGGAGGAGAACATGCTTCTTGCAATCCGTCCATTTGTTGTCCCAAGGACTTAAACCTATTCCTCCCATGCGGAAAGGGTCACCCTGGGTTTAGGTCTCCATGAAACACCTGCGAGACTTTCGTGGTGTTCCTTTGGCGGAAGGGGAGGTTCGTTTTTTCTTTGGAGGGTGTTGAGGAGCGTGGCAGCTACCCATTGTGGAGGTCCCCCTTGTCTTCCAAACAGGGCTGTTCACGCAAATCTTGGGAAGAAGATGTTGTTTGGGAGGATGCATTGCTCACTTGAGTCAGTCATCGGCGATTTGTTCTCTAAGAACCCAGTTGTTTGGTTTTGAAGCTGGATCAAACGTAAACTGGGCGTTTTGAAGGTCTTCGGCTCCCCTCCCGCGTTCAACAGTGTACCTATCTCCCGTCGCGGGCAGGGTGCAAGTTGGCCAGGGGGCACTGTTCTTTTTCTGATCCAACTCGGCAGACGGCGAGTGGCGGGTCGGCGAAAACAGCACGGGGGGCGAACACGTGAATCGGCGGTGGTTCCGTCCAAAAGTTATCCGGTTTCTATCTACAATCGTCGAGTCAACACCGCTCAAACTCAACCATCACCTGCCAGGCCTTTCAGGCTCAAGCTCTGCGGTTCGAAATTCGACATCAGGGCCACTTGCCTGACCAGCAAAGCGTTTGGCTAGAGAAGCAACTTAGCAAAGGCAGTTTAACAACCTCACCAGCTCACCAAGAACCTGACAGTTTCCCTGAACATCTCCCAAAACCAATCCCCCAAAGCTGCACAGGTTGGGCTGTTCTTCCAAGAAGGGATTTAAAGGGCACACCCTTTAGGCCACAAGCCGATTCTTGCGGCGGACTTCTAACAACGTCCTAACCTATGTTTCAGGAGGTTCCAAAATGAAAGCCAGTTCAGTGGATTCCACCGGTCTTCAGGTGGCTTCTCCGCCGCACCTGTAATCTGCTTCGCGATTGCAAAGGATCGGCTCGGCAATGGAGCCGCCCATCCGAGGGCCGAGGTCACAGACCTTTGGCGGAAGGGAGGGAGGGTCAGCCAGGTTTGATGATTGAGTTGCCCCTCATTTGAGCGTCTCGGGCGCTCTCAGCGCGGACTATCAATTGTCATTGCTTTGCCAACTTTGCCGAGCAACTGCTCGACCGAGACTAGGCATTTTTGCTAAACAGAACTGCAGCAGCTTGCAGCCCAACTAGGGTCAAAGTGCTTCAAACCGCTTTCGGGCCCTTTCACAGCGCCCAAACTGATTCTGTTTTGGGGTGCAGATATATTAAAGACAAACAAAGCTTGCCGCCGGGTCGAGCCACGCAGATGCACCCCCTTGCACATCAAAGGGGGCCAGGGGCTGGTTGTCTGAACAAGTTGTGCAACCAACCTGCGCCAGGCTTCGGCGCGAAAGCGACTCCGAGGGCGACATGTGGAGCGTGAAGTCGGAGGCCGAGATCCGAGATAACCCGAGATAGGAGATACCCTCGGTTGCCCGGTTGGGTTGGAGAATGGCTTCAAGAAACGGGAGGACCCCTTTAAAGGGAAGCCAAAGCGGGTTGTAAAAAAAAAAAACTGTTTTGCACAGGGGGTTGAGTCTCCCAACCCAGTCGAATTGTTGACTGACAATTACTATTTTCGCTTTGGGCCAGCTAACCAACTGGTTTTCTGGCATCACCTGGGTCACCTGAAACCCGTTTGAGATTGGTCAGTCGCAGCAAACCAGGCATGAGTTCCATGGTTTGACTTGAAGTTGCTTGGGGCTGGGGCAGGCAGCGTTAGTTTAGGAAGGGCTGGGGCAAAGGATTGACACTCGAGTGACAGCGATGCTACGGCATCCTGACCACCAATTCAACCAGCCTCAAGTCTCATACACAAATCAGGCCTACCCAGTCCAAATTCAACCAAGAACACAGCCTTGACACAGCCCCACGCAACTTGGAACTCATGACTGGTGATGCCCACTTACCAGGAAGGGAGGTAACCGCGACAAGCCTTTGGCGTTTGTCGTGGTTACCCCCCGCCTCCCCACTTACTGTGACAGACCAGCCCCACAACACAGGCGATGATGCTGGGGATGTTGCCTCCCCGTCCTGTGCCGGCCCTCGCCATCAGAAGGAAGGTGCTGGGGCCCAACGCTATGCAAAAAGGCACCGGATATTCAGATTCTAGGGTCCGTCCACTTCAGTACAAGCGTGGACGGGCTAGGTTGCCTGAAGATTGCCATTGAGGATGCCAGCTGGCCTTATTTTTGAAGGAACCCGCTTCCCTACTTTCCGTTGACTGCACCAACACTCCAGGACCTTTCGGAACCCTATTTAGCAATCGTTCCCCACACGGAATTGCACTGGCTTCCTTTCCAAGTCTTAGACAGAACAGGATTTCCCATATTTCCCTTTCGGTGGTATTAAACATTACCTTTCTGGCCGACTTTAATGGGTGTTAGTTCTGCCTGCGAGAAGCTCCCAGTGGAACCCATTTTCTCTTTTCTTTTGGATTCGTCACAAATGTACATTTGAAAATCAACCCCGATCAGGCAACTCCTATTTGGTGTCGTTTGGCTTTTGTGGCTTTCAGAACTGGGAGAAACAACTCCAAACCACCAAGGGATGCTGACCCAACAAGGGTTCCAATTCATTTTGCTGGGTAACTGGTTTTGGACGCGGGCCGACACACGCCTTTGGCAATGTGACGTGGCTTGCCAGGAGGCATCACATGTCCGACCAGTGCCGCTGCCTCAGGCAGCACTTGTTGCTGACATGATTTGTTTGATAGTTTCCTTTGTTGATTTTAAAGGGCATTTGTCACTACTGGAAGTATTATCACTGTTTTAGAAGGGGCTCAAACAAACGGAAGGTAGCAAGCCGTGGAGCAAGGGAACTGCTTGAAGTTTCGCAGTTCAGCGATTGAATCGGACCCCCCAACCTCCCAGCCAACCTAATCAACAGCACTTCCCGTTTCAGGTCTTTTAAAGTGTCTTTTGATTCTTTAGTTGTTTTGCGCCCGGGTCTCCTGCTTCCCTGAAAAGCTTGGGGTTGAGCGCTACGGTTTAAGCAGTGGGGCCAGGGTCTTCGGTGGCCAACAGTCAAAAAAAAACACCCGAAAAAAGGACACCCTCGAAAAAGCACATATTGGAGGACTACATCCGCGGTTGAACACATGTTGCACTTGCCGCAAGATGCATCGACCTCGTCCTCCAGACTCTTGCCTCCATTGGTCTTCTTCCCCGCTGGCGCTGAAAAGCTTGTCATCCAAGGGCTGTCCGTTTCGGCCATCCGAGGGATCGCCGAAACGACGACTCGGAGGGGGACATGTGGAGCGTGGCATCGGAGGAGGCGAGAGGGACGGAGGCCGGAAACCATTTACAACCCATAGCCAGGACTTCTTGCCTTTTCAGCTGTTTGCCCCACTGAGCTTATGGACTTTGTACTTTTCGGGAACACCGTTTTAGGGGCAAGCAAACAGTTGGGAGGCGTTTTTTGCCAACTCACTCCGGAAGCGAGTTAAATGTGGGCCATGTTGTTTATGTTGTTTGTTTCTTCATGCATGAAAACGCTAAAGCAAATAATCAGGCAACCTGTTAATCTTTTGGTTTGCATTGGTTTGGTTTAAACCTTTGGCTGTTTCTTGTTGACCCCAGACCTCCAAACCAGCAAACTCCAAATCAGTGGAGGCTGACAGCTTTCTGCAGAGGATCGTAGACTATCTGGCCCAGAAACGCGCGAGGAATTGCAAAACGCACGGGTTGTCTTTTTCTATATGATTTCGTTTAAGGCCACCCCAAATAGAGTACCCTGAAAGGGCACAGTTTTCCTTTTTGTTTTCCCAAAAGGGAGCCACCGAGGGCGGACCTTGTGTTGATTGTTCCAGACCCACCCCCAGCAAATGCAAAGACGCATGTGCAAGGTGTGCGCAATGTTTTGTACGTTTTCCACCGGTTTCACTTGGTATGACATTGCCATGTCTAATTTTTCGGTTTCTTGTAGCGCCCCCTGTTTTTACAAAGGAAGAGACAACCTTTTTTTGGTAGGCCCCTGCCTGACAAATGAAGCAAAATGTCGGCTGCAGTTTTCACTTGCAGAGTTGTCCGAGCTTCTTGCCTGCTTTGTCGCGTAAATTGGACCTACCTCCGTTCTACCTACCTCTGCCAAGGCACACATGCAGTTCACCAGACACGTTGTTGATGCAGTGTGAAAGATGAAGGGCAGGGTGTAGGCCACCACAAATAGCGGCAGCCGACAAGACGCCGAAGCAAGGCACTGGCACAGCCTCGTGGCAGAAATCTGCTCAATGTACTTGGCACAGCATCGCATCGCACACAAGGTTATCCTGCTTCCTTTTGTGGCCCGTCTTGGTTTGCCAAACGCAAGCCGGAAGAGGGCTTCTTGGTCCGCTCAACCTGAATCCTGGGCTCAACTTCTGGCCCTTTGAACTCCAACCAGAACTTGACAGGCAGCCACTCGTTGAGCCCTAGTCTCAAGCCAAAGCCTTGCGTCAGCAAGTGTGTGTTTGGCATAGTTCAAGCTGACTGTTGGAAGCAACAAGGCTGTCAAGCTGCTGCTGTGTTTGTGTGTGTGTTGTTCCTCCTGGCTCTTGGGATCCCTTGTTTCAGCAAGACAGTTGACGTGTGGTTCTCGCTGGCCAGGCAGCTCGAAAGACCGTGCCGGCACCTGAAAGACTCGAAGCAAGGGGAATTGGGACTATTGCTCCACTTGCGGAATCTGCTAGGGAGCTGGTAAGTTGGTATGATAGTCTGGCTGGCTCCTCAACCCTTTCATGATTTTGTCGCAAAGGTTCCCTTGAGGCGAGCCATGCGCATTTGAGAGAGTGGACCTTTATGGAGCTTGTTGTGTTGGACATGCACAAGCTATCATTCACTCACGCCTTGGCCCTTTTACCTTGGCTGCTATTGGCTTTTCGGGGGAGACCGTGGCTGGCATTCCATTATTTATCCACGGTGATTTGAGCAATCCTCCGAAGGGCAGTGGGTGTTGACATGTGGGTGGCACCCTGTTGTTGAGCTATATGTCTGTGCCCGCTGTCAAGCAGCGAAACAGAAACCTCATTGAGCGATGATTCGATGTTACCCAGCCACGATGCCCAGCTAAGCCGCAATAGACTGCACGATGAAAGACCCGGGAAAAAGCTCATGGAGATGGTTGCTACCCTCTGCAAGAACCACGGCTTCAAATCCCCACCAATCCAAGCCACCAACTAGGGTCTACCTGAGATCAGGTTGACACCTCCAAAGGGCTCTGCCGGCGATGCGCGGCCGCGCAAGAGAAACGAGCCTTGGCACCCGACCAAGTCCTTCCAAGTCGCGGCCGGCTCCGCGCTGCTCCCGTTCCGTTCCCAAACGCCCAACTGGGTTTGCTGTTTTGAGGGTGCCCTTTTAGCTTGGCATGAAGGGAAACACAAAAGGCAACAGCAGTTTTTTCATCTTGACGCATTAAATGTGTTTGACTGTTTGCAAGGGTTAAAGTCAGAGTCTTTGGTCAACGGTATTCCCTTCTAGGCTAAAGGTAGGTTGCACAATGCCCGGTGGATGGAGAGGGGATGATTAAGCCAATCTACTTTGACCCAACAGTAAAAATGATTGATTCTAGAAAACGGCTTGGAGGTGTTTGTTGTTGGTTCGGACTAAAGGAGTATCAAGAAGGGACTGCAAGGAGAGAAAAGCTAGCGGAATCGACAAGAAGAAGATCCAAAGCAGCCTCTAGATTGATATTGATTGGAGAGGGGATGCCCTGGAACAACCAGGCTTCGGTCACTTCCAAGCTTACCCATCCAAGAATTGGGGTGTAGAAGGACATATGAGGTTTATTTGCTTGGGTGGTGTGCTTTATCTCAAAGATCTGCTTTGGGTGAGCAACCCTTATTTTGCACGAAGGCCACGCTTGCCGGCTGGTGGTGCCTTTCGCTTGACTGTTTCATTTGGACCTTCAGGACTCCAGTTTTGGAGCTCAAGGGAAACCAAAGAGGCCCGCCACCCGTTTACTCATTTGCATGCCGCTCGCATTCTTCCAAGCGCATTTTCAGACATCTCAGACTGGGTGGTGATGTTTCCCGACCCCTGTAGCTTATAACTGTGGCAAATATTTGTGATGAACTGACAGAACTGGGTTTCCTCCCCTACAGGTCAACATGTAACCTACCCTACTTGCTGCTCCCCAAAATCATAGGTGCTTTGTTGGGTTTACCCTAGGCTTAGACTTAGTTTTTTGCTTATCCCCCAAACTCAGGAAACCCTTAAACATTGCAAGTTTGGGAGCTTGAACCCCTGGTTCTACAAAAAGTCGCCCCGAACAAAGCTGCCAATCCAAACCCATTTGAGGGAAGCCAATCGATCACCGGCGTTCGTGTGGAGGGGGGGTGCTTGGCGCTCATCAACCAGGTCGGGGATTTGGCCCCCACCGAGAGGTTTGGAAGGGAAACACGCTCTGCAACCTTCTAACCTCGAACCCGCAAGGAGATACCGCAAGTGTGTGGGGTGTTTTCTGGCAAGCGTTCCAGAAGAATGTCCTGCTTCAATGAGACCCCCCAGCTAGGAGGGCGGCTCGTTGTACCGCCCCTTCCCAGGACAGGAAGCCGCGTCTGGCGGAGCACGCGGCTGAGCTGGTGTCGTGGTATGCCACGCGCGTGGCGGAGCTCGAGAGGGAGACGCCTTGATCGAAGCCCAAGGTAGGTGAGCACCCATTGGGTGCGTCTGTCTTTGAGGGAACAAACATTTTTTGGGGTTCGGGTGGCTTTCAAGGGAAACCAAAAGGATAGGCACGATTTGGCACAAAACGGGTCACCAAAGCTAGGACGGCGGCAGCACCATCCTTTTTCTACAGGGCCTGGTTGGGTGTAGAAATAGAGGAGATTGTCGGTCGCCCCCAGGTTGGTCGGTTCGCCCCAACAGTGGCGCAAGGCAGATGTCGATTTTTGCCAAAGGGACAAGGCAGGTGGCGATGGGATGGTTGCGTCTGCACTCGATCCAAGGATCGGCTTGTGGGAAACACGGCTTCAGGGTCAATCACTCTCTGAGGTCACGGGCTTCAAACTTGTAGGACGAGCATGTTTGTGGCAAACAAACCGTTTATATTTTGCAAAATCCAAGCAGCCAGCTGGCAATGTTATGTTAAGTCCAACCCACTTGGAAGATTCTACACTGGCTGGGCCCTCCATTTGGGGTGACACATCCCATCAACGGGGACACCCCCTATATACAGTGCTTCCTGAGCTGTTCAATCGAGCTCCTTGAGCTGTTGCTTTCCAGCTTGCCACCTTACCTAGACCAGTTTACAGTCCAGACGGTCCTCTTATTGTGTCTTTTTTGGCGGAAAAGAACACCCAAAGCGGAATGTCCAACGGTCAAAAGGCCCCTATAACAACCATTGTATTGGTTCCTGTTCAGGGGCACACGATCGGTCGTAGGAGTTTTGACCATGGCCCAATTGGCTTTGGAGGTTCCATGCTGCTTTGATTTGATTTGGGGCGCGTCCTACCCACCAAAAGAATCACGCGGCCGGAAGCCGAGGAACAAGTCGCTGCGGAGCGGACTGCTGAACGCCGGAGAGAAGCGGTTCTTCATTGGATGCAAGGCATGGTTTCTGGTTGAAGCACGGCTGGGTAGGTTGATCGCTCCCTGAAGTCATGGCCTTTCAACTTTGCGGGAAGATCAACTTTGGAAGAACATTTTTTTAGGGCAAACAAGCAGTTTAGGCCTTTTTCGGCCAATCCACTCCATCGGCAGTGAGCTGTAGGGTCACTTTCTGTGGTACCTAGCAGGCCTTCAAAGGGACAAAGTGGTCACAACTCCTTATTGGTATCACAGAAATATTCTCAAACCATGATCCATGGTGGGGAGACCCTCCCCCCACTTCATTTCCAGAACAGCCTGCCTACGTTGCCATGGAAGGAAGTCGTTTGGGGATCCCATTTTCCGCCGATCATTTGGTGGCGTCCCTTTTGTGAGTTGGACCCGGAAGAGTTGTTCAGGGGCCTCGCCAACTTGGCTGTTTTGCAAAAGGC